CACTACAGTTTCAAAAGAAGACGACAGGAAACTCAAGAGTTTTTTTTCCCCATAGAAAGTTTTCACATGTTTATCTTCCTGCAGTTTTGTACAGTATTTCTTCTTTGCCATTGTGATGTTGGTAAGCAAAGCCCATTTATTATATGAAAATAGAAAAGAACACACTTGATGTTTTTCACGATAACATTAATGGGGGAGGGTGACCCCTAAGGAAAACATTACATTGGAATGTCTGATTATCAAAAATATACCATCCCTCCCACCACCCAGGTTTGTAAAATAGTCTGTTGGTCCAAGGAGCCCCCCAGGACTTGGGTCAGTGCCCTACACTGGTTAGTGTGACATTATCCAGTGTAGTTAAGTAACTTGCTAAGATAAATTCATTCCCACACTTGATGAGAAAAACATAGAACATTCTGAGTAGAAAACAAGACTCAAAAGGAACCCCTTTAAAGCTGTTTCTTTTTCTGATCCACTTTCTCTTAGTTCTAATGATGCTCTTCATGATGCTTTTTGGGCTCCAAGGGTGATGGGTCATAACAATGCTTTTCCTTCAATCATTTTAAAGCGTTGCAAATGCTGAGATTTCATAAGGACATCAGAAAGGGAAAATAAAAGTCTTTTTGGTTCCTGTTTGTCATGGTTACCATGCCAACTAGATTAGAAGGGAAACAAATATTGCCTTAGATTAACAGCATTAGGATCTTTCTGCCTTGTAGTTACCTGGTAATTGAAATGAGGGAACCTGGATCACTAGAATTCATTAATAACCTAAACATCTAGGTTTAGATAAATTTCAACCACTACCTCTGCAAAGTTAAAAAAAAAAAACAAAGATAAGGAAAAAAATCTAGGTACATCTTTCAATGTACTTTCCCTGCCAATATTCTAACAAGTGACATGATCCCGAACTGCAGGAATCATAGTTTGAAAACTGGGTAAAGTCCTCAACATATCCACAAGTTGACTTTTTTGTTAATTGTCGATCAGCATTAACTATCCACTTTAATTTCTGTTCAAATTATTTTTCTTAATTTCACGTTTCTACTTGCTGACTTCATACTCCTGTGTGACTGTAGACTCGTGTTCAACTATCGTTGAGACTATCTAGTCTTTTGAACAGGATTCTATGCAGTTAGTGGTGAGCTTGACACTAGTTATGAAAAGAGGGGATGAAGGAGAAATAGTACAGAGTTTGCTTCTGGAGGTCCTGGTTCAGGGTGGTTTTGAGTATAATGCTTCCTCTCCCTAATCACCAGCCTTGAAATCCAGATATTAAAATATATAAGCAATCCTCAGAGTAATGCAACATGATGTAGAGGAAAATAGGCCCGGGACAAGATGTCTAAGCCCTCGATTGCAAACATAGTTCTGCCACTAACTTGCCATGTGAACCTGAATGTCACTCAGCTTCTTTCTGCCTGTTTTCTTCTCTGTGAATCAAGGATTTAGGTACTTGATCTACTACCACCAGAGGTTGTGGAAAGGATTAAAAGGACTATAGAAGGTATGCTTTAAAATGTTGTCCTAGCCCGCCCTTCATCGAGGAGAGACAGCATTTGACTGAAAAAACCTGACTATTCACTTACCTATTTTTGACAGAATTGATAGTCCATAGCTAGTTGTATCTAGTGGATGGTGGTTTCCAAAGTATGGTTTGTATTAGTACAGTCAGTGGTTTCCAAGGGCTGTGTCCAAGTAATAATTGACATTCACATAAGACTATGTCTCTAGATATAACAAGTAATCTCTGATGAATCTTCTCTAAAGCATCGTTGCTCTGAGAGGCAGTGGGGGTAGGGAAAAGCATTAGACTAATAGCCAAGGGACTTGGGTTCTGGTCCCAGTCCTGTCATTAAATAACTGCATGACCTTGAGTAGGTCACTTAATTTCTCTGGGCCTCAGCCTTCTATACTGTAAAATGACTTAGATATTCTTTAATCTCTTCTAGTTCTGATTCACTGTATTCCATGTTTTCTAAGTTTCCATTCATTTCAATGTAGCTTCTTGGTTGGTTGGTTGGTTGGTTTTTAACCCTCCCTAACGTTGAGTAGGATTGAATGGGATAGGTAGTTTTGTAAATCTATTATGCTGAAGTTGTTCATGAACTATGAAAGCTCGAGTCATTTCACCAGAAAGCCATTGCCCCCTGAAAACCCTGATAATATCCTGGTTCTTCAGTCACTGGACGATGAGTTAGACGTTCAACTGATTTGGCACACTTTGGACCTTCTTTTTACTTACAAATGCCCTTTAGCAGTGTAGCAATCTTGCCCTATTCTGTTGTGTAGATGAGCCACTTTCTCGTGAGAACTGGGTCTCTCATCTTTGGCTAAGGCTACATTGGGGGATGGAGATGAAGGGGTTAGTCTAATAATGGTGGTTTAGGAACTGGCGTAATGTGGGATTTGGAAATAAAATTGAAGAAATACAAAACATTCAGTTCATTAGGGTCAAAAAAGTGGGAAATTATTTGGGACATGATTTTTTTAAATTTCCTTAATTTTTGTGGGAACCACTAGTAAGCTCCCCTGGTGCACTACCAAACAGGTCCTGGGTTGGAGCAGTCATTATTCTAACTCTGTGATGACCTGTTCTTAAACACAGGCAGTTCGTATGTGTGTGTAACCATGTTCCTATTTACCTCTTTATCCTTTACCCCATTCAGTTCCTATGATAAATACTTAGAAACTTAAACCTTGTTTAACTTTGTTCCATTACCCATTCTTTCAAAAGAAAAATTCCTTTTCTAGTCCTTTGCCTGCCCTCTCAATGGAGTCCAGCCCAGTCCTCTGCCTTCCCTAATGAGATATGTGGATGACGTGAATGGGATTAAGTATGTAAGTGTGTTTAGGTTGTTGTGTGTTTGTGTGTACACACGTATTCCTCTGTAATTGTAAAGCTTTTTGCCTACTTACACCATAAGCTCAGAGGGCCAGACCACCCCATTCTCGGGTTAGGGGGAAATCCTTGAGGCCAGACCCAGAGAAGGGACGCAGTCAGTGGTCAGTGAGGATAGCGTAAAGGAGAAGGCTCCGTCTCCTCTGCCCTTCTGCTCACCTTCTGGTTAGGTGCCACCTCACATCCCTTTGACTTCCTCCTTCTACAGGGTCAGTAGAGCTGGGGGTCATAGGGAAGCCCATTGAAGGTAGTTTTAGGTTCCCAGCTAGTGAAACTCTTCTGGATGGCTGAGGTAGGCAGAAAAATTCTTGGCCTACCATTAAACAGCTAACCACTAAGCTGTTGAATGGATAAAGAGTTCCCAAGGAGCTCCTGTGTCTCAGAGTCCAGGCTAGAGAGACTGCAATAGGGTAGTTGGAGATTGGGGAAGGCGGAAAGGGCCTGGTCACTACCCCCGAGGCCCACCTGCTCTGCTAAAAGCAGTGAAAATTGATTGGATTCCAGAAATGCTGTTCCCAGCCCCATCAGGATGCAAACCACTTGCACAGAAATGTGTCCAGGTTTTCCAAAAATAATATTCACTTCCTCACTTGCAGCGAGGTGATCAGGCTTCTCCCCCATTTCAGTTATCTTCAGGGACAACAGGCCTGAAGACTCTTCAGATCTCAAGGCATCATTCAGACCAGATAAGAATCATCTATAATCTCTTACTTGACTTCACTCTTTGGAGCATCCTTCGTGAGGCACATAGGCTTAACCTTCTGCAGCCTCCATGGGAGTTGCCTCAGGTGTGAGATAAGTCAGAAGCTTGGTCCCCGTACTGCTGCCTTCTCTGCGGGAAACTCTGCTCATGGGGCTTCTTGTCAGAGCTCTGGATGGGTTTTATGGTGGGTCCTGAAAGAAGGGTACAGAGCAAGGTGCCACAGGGACTGACTGCAGCTGGGAGCCCTGGGTTCTTCTGTTCTCTCTTCACTGGCACACACTGGCATTGCCTGTGCCTCTCAGGTGCTGGCTATTTCCTTTTCCAAGATCCCAGTGAGATAAATGTGGTCATTCCCTTTCTTCCCCAGAAATGGAAACTTCAACACCAGTGGTTCCAACCACAAGGGAAGCACTCTGTTCTTTAAGGTGGACTTCCCTCATCCCTAAATGCCCATTTTTGCTTTATTCTTTTCTCTTCCACCACTGCATTCACGTCCTTGGCACGAGTCTGCAGGTGCTTGGCAGTGGAGAAGGCTTTACTAACATGTCTCAGTATCACTGGGGTCCATGTGGAGAGAGATGGCTGGACACAGAGAAAAACAGCCAGGGGGTGAAGCAGAGAGGTACAGAGACAAAGGAGACAGGGGCAGACAGAGGGTGAGTGTTGCTGTGTGGTCACGTGGCAGCTCTGTGCAGGTCAGCTGGGCAGTGGGGCCCAGGCTCAGTCGACCTCACCTACCTGGGGGAACGAAGAGAGAACTCAGCAGTAACTGACTTCTTAGCCTAAAAGCTTTTGCTATAAAAGGAGAAAAAAAAAAAACAAACCCCCTCACAAAATGCATTGTTTTGGTTCAAAGGTATTGGGTCCATGGAGAAAAACATTTCACAAAACTCCGTTGGTGTTTTTGTTTTCCACCTTTTCCCATGAATAAATATTATCCATTAAGAGCCTTGAAAAAGGTGCTTAAATACACAGTGTTATATTTTCTTCCTGTTTTGCATGTGACAACTCGGCCTCTGTGCTGCTCTTGGTCTTCTATTTTCCTCACTGGGGTCTCCAGAAACAATGGTTATTTGGTCTGAGGCTCCCCACTCCGGGCCCTGTCCTGGCTCACAGCTTATACCCGCACAGTCCCATCCCTACCCGCCCCGCCCTCCCTTTCCTCTGGCCCCTGTGAGATGCAGTGGCACAGGGCTATGTCCACGCTAGCAGCAGTGAACCTCAGGTGCCCCTTTGCTGCCTCTTTCTCCTTCCAGGCACAGGTTTCAGTGTTGGGGGTGCAACAGGGTGGGCAGAAATAGTGGGGGAGGGGGAGGGAGTGGTCACAGTGGCCACCCACCAACATGCCAGCCCCCTTCACTCCCACTACCGGCACTGGCCCTCTGTCCAGTGGTTTTACAAGGCGGAGACCTTGACAACATTGCTGGCTATGGCAGGAATGTTCGTGTTGGAGCCTGGGCTGGCAGGGGGTGGCCGACCTTCCCCCTCTGGGGTTAGCGCTGGGGGAGTAGGAATGCTGATGATGGCTGTGGTGATCTGGGATGTTTTGCAGTTTGGTCTCAGTCCGTCGTCTGCTTTCAAGTTAAGGCTGGAACGACTGGGATAAAAAAAGAGTGAGTTGATGATGGTTCGTCTTGCTAGTGTCCCAAAGCTTCCTTGACCCTCTACCTGTCTAGCTCACAGTAACTGGGAGGTGATTTGGGTGTCCCTCCATCTCTGCTTTTGGTAATCGGCCTGTAATTATCCATTCTGATTATTATTCCTAAACTACCCCAAATTGCAAAAGTCATGTATACTGGGCTTTGGAATTCAGAGTATACATTTTTCCCTCCAGTGGATTTTTTTCCCATCACTTGTGGCATTTGATTTTGGTTTCCCTGAATTCCTTGCCACTCATTGGAGGTAGTGGGAAGTGGCCTACATATAAGTAGAGAGTCAGTCTGTGATTCAAAATCAGCCTGGGATAAGCCGAAATTTTGTATAATTTCACAATTGTGAAAATTATTGTCTTGAGAAAACAGTCCATTCTTTGCACTAGGGTAGGTCATTTATGGATTTTTGTTGTTGTTCTTATTTTTTCTGGTATCTAACTCCTGCACCTGCTATAGTATCCTCCAAAGCATATGAGAGGCCTTTGGGTTAACTTGCAAGGATGAGAAGGAAGGTGGGGGGAGGAAGGTGAGGTGAGGAACTCATGCATTAGATAAGGAGGAGGGAAGGCTGAGGACCCCCAGGGGTCTCCTAATGCTGAGAGCCTTTCACTCTGTGAAGGGAGCGTCTCAAGCCTTAGGGAGTGATGGAGATGGGAGCCACCCACCTGGTAGTGAGGGAGGGCTGCTCGCTGCCCTGGATGTGGATCGTGCTGAGCTCTTGCATGCTGCGCAGGCGGGTGGCCGGCAGGTTGGAATTGGGCAGGTGTGTGGTTTTCTTACTACGACGGGAGCAGCAGGTGGTCGTGAGGCCCGGGTGGCTGGACAGTGAGGGACTCCGTGTGGTTGGGTAGTTCTGCATTGAACTCTCCATGCAGTTCTGCTCAAACATCTGTTCATCTATAAACTCGTGGTTCTGTGGGAAGCAGAGGGAGAAGAGGTAGGAGAAGGAGATAGGAGGAGGGGGGCGATACGCCCCCGTACCCTGTATAGCTGCCTGTCTCTGTTCTGGGCCTTGGGAGAAGGGCTCCCAGCTGCCTGGAGCACAGATAAGCATTCAGGACATGGGGGATATCCCACGGGCATCAAATGAAGGAAGGGGGAGATTCCCATCGACAGCCCTGGTCATCAGACTGGAGGGCGGAGACTGCGGTGGTGAAATCATCATGTGACATTCACTTCATCTACAGCTTTGGCTGAAGGGATACGGAGGACATGGAGGGACTTAGTGGCATCCTCAGAGCTAGAAGCAAAGACTTGACGGACTTTGCAGGCTTTGACAGGATCTTCTGGTGGCGGGGGGCAGGGAGCGGCAGGTAAGGAGTCACTAACAATGGGTAGTGGGTACGCTGGGTTGTCTTTTCTGGATTTACTGGCTGAGATCCTTATGAATCCGGGGCAAGTGTGAGACATAAGCCTTTAAAGGCACTGGATTATTCACAGTATTGGGAGAGCTTTGCTCTTGAAGGCCAATGCAGTCACACACTCAGGGTATGATTGCTTTTGATTACTGGTTTTTTTTCCACCTGGTTATCGGGTATGGCTCCTTAATAGACCTAAAGGCACAGGATTCCCTAAGTCAGGTGTAAGCATGGGAAGGGGATGCTAACAGACTCCTGATGGAGGCCACCAGGATGGGGTGGAGTGGAGCCCAGGATAACTAACATATGGCTGTTTAGCCAAGATGACTAAACATCTATGCCATGAATGGTCTGGCCCAGGCTGCCAGAGTGAGGAGAAAGTCTGAGGAGAAGTAACATGAGAACAGAGTTCAGAGAGAGACCAGCCCTGACAGCCAATACCAGGAGTCCCCATAGAGCTGGGTGGGTGGCACAGACAGATGTGGCACATGGGCACTCACAAGATACCAGCATTGGTGCCATGTTCCACCACCCCTCCAAGCCCCTGGGGAGGTCAAAAAAGGGAATCAGAAAGGCACAAAAAAACTGGAAGCCTGAGCTGGTACTGGGTGTGACAGCAGAGGTAGGATAAGCCCAAGAAGAATCAACAGCACATGCAGAGAACCAGACCAGGGGGTAAGAAGAGGAGACTCCACAGACTCAGAAGAATCAGAGAGAAAAACATCAATTGAAATTTTTAAAAGTTATACCTTGATGGTGGAGGTTCGTACAGATAACAGGGGATCATCCACAAGATAGGACAACCCCTACAGGACAACATGCCAACAGAAGATAAAAACACCATTGATTGTACATTCCAGCATTCCCAGGCTCAGTTTTGACATTCGATCTCTCAGTCCCAGCATTCCACCCTTCCAGTCCGACATTCCATCCCTTGCTTCCAGCATTCTTCCTCCTTTGTCCCAACATTCCATCCCTTGAGTCCAACATTCCTTGCCTAAAATCCAGCATTCCATCTCTTTAATCCCAATATCCCCACAATCCAACATTCTTTCCTTCAAATTCAGCATTCCACCCCTTCAATGCCAACATTCCATCTCTTCAAACCCAAATATTTTCACCCATATCCTTTCAACTTACACATTCCACCCAGCACATGCAACTTGGAAAGGGCAGTTGGGTCCAGGCCTATTTCTTTGGCAAGCTCTGAGTCTTTGAGAGAAATTCTAGATACACCTGTACGGTTCTTGACACTAAAAAACATTGGATAAGTCCTGGAAACTAGGGTTTTCAGAGTACCTTCCCACATTGGAAGCCCTCACTGGGTTCAGCTGCCATCCACAGCGTCCACAGTTGTCCGTACTGAGAGTCACCTAACATCTACTTCCCCGACATTTGGGAGGCCAGGATATGGAACACTGAGAATTAGAAAGTTCCTTCCTTAGCGTGCTGAGCCCTGACCATAGGCTTTTTTGGGGAAGGAGGTCCTAGAAAAGAACAAGAAGGAGTTTCTCTTTGTCTCTCTTTGGTTGTCCAGCCTAACTTCTTCTCCCTCCCTACTATTCCTAACACTTTTTGCCAAGGCTCCAGGGTTGACCCCACTGCCCTTCCTTTCAGTCTGTTGGTGAGGCACAAGCATCATTCCACATTCCAGCTGGGGCACCCTAAGCCATGACTCATTTTTAGCAATCAGCCTTTCAGAATCTGAATTCCCTGGGAATTGCAGGGGGACTGTGATGGGGTGGTACTGGTAAAATCCCTGGCTAGAGAAATATATGCACTGCTTTGTTCATTCACTCTCTCCTGTTCCAAGTGGAATGGAAGGAGAAAAGGGACCCACAGATTGCATCAACCTAGCCCCAGGGATAGGACAAAAACTGACATTCTTCTCTGCTGTCCTGTAGTAACCTAGCATAAATTCAGCCCTAGCTCTGAAGAGGGGTGCCCATCAGAGCTGAGAAACTGATAGGCAGAGCCCTTAGGCCTCAGTAACTGAGAAATGGGTTGTGAGGATGGATGTAGGGTGTGTGTGGAAAGACTGGGGGAATGGCCTCCTCTGTGCTGCGGGCCTCCTGACCCTGGTGGCTTTGCCCCACTCCCTGGGGTCTTCCTCCTGAGGGCTGATAGAGACCTCATCGCCACTCTTTGGATCTAAGGGGACAAACTTTGACTTCTGAAGCCTGGGGTGAGGACGTGAGGACAGAGTTCTCACTCTGTAAGTTCTGACCTCAGAAAAGGGTCAGGGGTCAGGGATGAGAAGGGAGGTGGCACTGGGCTGGGACTCACAGTGGTTTTCTCCAGGCAGTGCAGCAGGTGGTGGTGCTGGCTCTCGATGAGTGAGGTGGTCTTGCCCATGTGCTCCTCTTCCGGGGTGCCCTAGCAGGAAAAGAGGAGAGGCTGAGTATAAAGCTGCTGGCTCTCCTTCTCTCCATCTCCTTCATCTCTCCACAGAAGGGAGGGGGGGACTGGAAAAATCTGGATGAACCAAATTTTAGGGTCACCCTAGACCATGCTAGCCTTTGGCTGGGAGCCCTTGAGCTAAAGGGGGTTTAGGGGTGATGATGAGAACACTATGGAAGACGTATGTGGAGGGTGGCTGCTACCTGGGGAAACTTTGGGGCCTTGGGGTGGGAGTGCTGATGCCCCCAGGAAGAAAAAGCAAGCCCGTCCTCCCCTCCATCTCCCTAACCCAAGTCCCCCGGGCACCTACCATCAGCTCCAGTGCCTCGTTGAGGAGTCCGTTGCGCTTGCTGTGCAGGTAGGCATTGGAGCTCCCTGTTTTGGCCACACGGATCCTGGCAAGGCGGGCCTTCTGTGATTGGCAGAGAGAATACAAGAGCGAGGGAGACTGAGAGACAAAAAGACAGTGAGCCTGTCCAAGCCAGCGACAGTGGGCTGTCCCAGTGAGGTTGGGGTCCCAGGTGATGTCTGATGAAGGGGAGGAAGCTGCTTCTTCCCCGCCACAGAGATCTCTGTTTATAGACCTGGGACTGGGTCAAAGAGGCTGTGACCGCCCTGTACAGAGTGAGCATGGTCATGGTCAGAGTGCCTAGGGGTTTCCACTTGTCTCTCCAGCCTGGGTGTGATCCTGGCCAGGGAAATATCACTCATCAAATTCCTCCCTCCTTCCTCAAATTTCATGACCTTTATCCATTCAGTATTGCATTGGGGTATTTCTCATCTCAGACTGCAAGTTCTTTAAAGGAGCCCATGTTATAGCTCTCCTGATTCTCTCCTAGGGTCCAGTGCAATTCCCTGCATACAGCAGGTGCCCAAATACCAGTTAATTATAAGAAAAGCAAGGAGTGTGTATATGTGCCCCTCAACTCCTTCCCCTCTTTCTATTTTTTCCTTAGCATTCATTACTAAGGTAGTATATGTTTTACCATGTTTATCTTGCTACACTGTCTCTCTTTCCC